GGGCCGCTGAGTATTAATAAGGTAAGAACTCAATAACCTTTTTTATCGTGAACGGTGCCTTTAACGATGCAGGATCCGGACAATGCTTGGTATGGTACCCCTTTTCTGAGCTGATGAGCCTTTGCAGCGATCATTTTCAAAGAAAATATAAAAAGAATCTCGTCATAGGAAGTCAGATTTTCCTACTTTTAAGTCTTGCATATCTCTTTCGCAAACTCTCAACTACTTTTTTTTCTGTACTTTCAGATTCTTGACCAGAAACGACCCTTTAAAGGAGTTGTCACTGCAGTAAACCGGGGACAATCCAGAGCAGTAAACTACATAACATCACGCTATTTCCCTTATGATGTGCGCTTTTTCACGTGGAACAATGTGTAGGTTGTTCTCATTTTCATTCCCTTTTCTCTGAACATCCCACCTCCCTCATTACAATTCTTATATCATCTGCTTCGTTTTTCGCGTCTCCGTTTTTTTGTGTTTATAACTAACTTCTAGCGATCCGAAACTACCCTACAGTCTACTAGGCCGCAAAGTAAATTTTGCGGCCTACAAGGATCCAAGAAACCAGAAGTGGTCATGTGTTGTGGGCACAATCAAGCCCACCGAAACTAATAACTTCAGTATTTCCCGTGAGGGCGACTTTTTTAAAGTGGGTAATGCCGTTTCAGTTTTTGCTCGTTCATTCGTTAGCCGGAATGATTTATTTTAGATAGAGCTAGCTGTCGAGTACATTGGTTGTACGGACGAACACGGAAGTATTCTTGTGTGGAGCGATCAGTTGGAATTTGTGGTCGACACCAATAGGCTTTTTAAAGATCGTGGTACGTTTGTAAGAATCGAGCTTTCGTTTCGTGCTCGTAGAAAAAGTTACTGTAGGCCGGATAAATCGGAGAGCGGTAAAGTGGGTAAAGCCGAATTTGGAGTACCGGGATTCTCAAAACAAATCTGGCACTTATAGAGAGAGGGATTTTGAGAATGACCAAGAAGGCTTGTGGAGTGAACCAGATCAACTCAGATTCAATGAGTTATTCCTCATAAGGCTACTACCCCGTTCGCTACGTGTAGTGCCTCTAGCAGTCCGTTTGATTTCTGGGAGTCGCAGTCCAACAAAGAGCGGAAGGATAACGAGAGCAGGAAGATGATGTAGGGTACTAGATCGAGGGAGAGTGGGAACATCGCCTAGCAAAAACAATGGTCAAATTGTAAGCGGACGAGTCTGCAAAATCTGGTCTAAGCAAATGGCAATCAATTTTTAGGAGAGAAATTTGGAAACGGGGATATGTTATGGCCCATTAATATGAATTTTAGAATACGGCATCTATCGTGTTCATGTTGCTCGACATAATCTACAGCTACAATTCGCGAAGTGGAATGTAAAATACGTTGGCGAACTCATAAAGCCAGTCGGTGGGCATATAAGCCGCTCCGAGGTGAGTTCGAAAAATGATTGAGGAGATCTGCAATTATCATTCTTTTCGATAAGGGGCTTATCCTACTTTATGCTTTGAAATTTCACATGTCTCACTATCTATAAATGGTTTCGTTAGCTTTTTACCATTTGACATCGTCCATAACGTGCTTATTTGATAGACCTCTGCTGTAATTACCATGTAGACTTCTATTCTTTTGAAAATCCCGAAGACCTGAAGAATTCCAATGGATAAGCTGGTGTGAGGCGGTTGAACCTATTATCTTCATAAGTACCCACGATGTCACCTCTCACCTCCAAGAATTTTTTGCGCGCGACAGTCTTTCTTCTGATGAAATTCAGATTTCATTAGGCCACCACCTCTCTGAGTCTCGTTGGTAGCGCGTTCAGTTCATGTTACATATGAAATTGTTGAAAGCGGCTTTTCTTTATTTGGATCGGAATGGTTGACCTTCTCTGCGAAAGTCTTCCTTCTTTTCGCTGAGTGTAGCATTTCATCCAAGCGGGTTTTCCTGGCCAGCAACTTGCGTGGTGCGGTCACAAGGACTCATATTGCAGCCCAAGTAGGCTGTTTTGCAAGTATGCCCGGAAAATTCACACCGTGACTGACCGAACATTGCATCACCTCTGCAACTTATTGTAAAATCGGATGCGGCTCTTCAGAGCGCGAAATTAGGAGGGTTGTTCACCATTCGGGCTTATGCGGTTCCTACGATTGAAGGCACAGTTCACGATAATTTCGAGGTACCTTCGTAGGTAGAAAAGCGGAAGTGTTGATGTAGACAAGTACATCTGTGGCGAACAAAGCGAGAAAATCCGCTATCCTCAAGACCTTCTGAAAGTAGTGGAAGGGAGGTTGACGAGATCACCGTGACGAGAAGGGCATGTAAGGGGTGTTTGAACGAGATTAACTTGCTTCCATTGCTCAAAGAGATGACTACATCAAGCAGAAATTGTCCAGAACTACCTTCCTCTGTCGGCATGGGTTACGCCAAGCAGTTTGAACTTCCTACATGGGGATCTCTTGAGATAGTGCAGCTTCTACAAAGTCATTGAAACTCGTCCACGATGGGTGTATCATTCACACGATACAATCTCTGGCCCCTTATTGCGCCCTATTTATGACCTTTTTCGACTTTATAACGGCAGATATGGTATAAAGGGAAGTGCCGAATTCAAACTATAGGGAAACCTCAGAGACCATTTTTATCGTGGACAGTGCTTTAAAAGCACTGTTCACGAAAAAATGGTTTCGGAGATTTGCACATGATGCCCCCTCTGATACCATTTGTGCAGGAATGAGGTCGGAAATGGTCTGGATAGGGCACAGTAAGGGGACGGAGAGTGAGCCACGGTCGCCCTCCGCCCCTCGCTGCTGACTACGAAATCTAATTGCCGTTCACCACTTTCACATTGGAGCGAAGTTGGTGAAAAATCGATAAGGTGGGTGGCAAACTGCCAGAGTCTGCCAGTTAGATTGTCAGGCAAATTGGCTGTGTTGTGTGCTATTGCAGACATTGCGTCGCCTTCGTGCGCTCGCCCGAACACTCCCTTAACCCCCGTTCTTCCAATGTGAACTCGTCCAACCCCCCTTTCCANAGAAGATCTTGGAACGTCAAGTGGATATCAAAGCCATTTAAAGAAGAATTGGCAGCTCCTTTCCGTTCAGCA